AGAATTTGGGGAATTTGGGATATGGAGAATTTGGGATTTGGAGAATTTGGGGAATTTGGGTAATTTGGGATTTGGAGAATTTGGGGAATTTGGGGAATTTGGGATTTGGTAATTTGGGGAATTTGGGATTTGGAAAATTTGGGGAATTTGGGATTTGGAAAATTTGGGGAATTTGGGATTTGGAAAATTTGGGGAATTTGGGATTTGGAAAATTTGGGGAATTTGGGATTTGGAAAATTTGGGGAATTTGGGATTTGGAAAATTTGGGGAATTTGGGATTTGGAAAATTTGGGGAATTTGGGATTTGGAAAATTTGGGGAATTTGGGATTTGGAAAATTTGGGGAATTTGGGATTTGGAAAATTTGGGGAATTTGGGATTTGGAAAATTTGGGGAATTTGGGATTTGGAAAATTTGGGGAATTTGGGATTTGGAAAATTTGGGGAATTTGGGATTTGGAAAATTTGGGGAATTTGGGATTTGGAAAATTTGGGGAATTTGGGATTTGGAAAATTTGGGGAATTTGGGATTTGGAAAATTTGGGGAATTTGGGATTTGGAAAATTTGGGGAATTTGGGATTTGGAAAATTTGGGGAATTTGGGATTTGGAAAATTTGGGGAATTTGGGATTTGGAAAATTTGGGGAATTTGGGATTTGGAAAATTTGGGGAATTTGGGATTTGGAAAATTTGGGGAATTTGGGATTTGGAAAATTTGGGGAATTTGGGATTTGGAAAATTTGGGGAATTTGGGATTTGGAAAATTTGGGGAATTTGGGATTTGGAAAATTTGGGGAATTTGGGATTTGGAAAATTTGGGGAATTTGGGATTTTGGAAATGTAGGAATTTGGTAATTTGAAAATTTGAGAATTCGAGAATTTGACAATTTAAGAATTTGAGAATTTGAGAATTTGAGAATTCGCAAATTCATGTATTTAGTAATTTGATAATTTGTGAGGTTAAAAATTTAGAAATTTAAAGTACCCAAAATTTTCAAATTTATACATCATGTAATTTAAGATTGTAAACATTTAGAAATTTCCAAATTGCAGTTCTTCGAATTCAGTTTCAAATTTCCATAAATAGAGAATTTCTATAAATATATGAAATTTTAATGATGTTCCACAAAAACTATAAAAACATTGATGGTGTATATTTTAATTAAAAAAAATACTTCTTTAACTACATATTGTATAAAGTTCATTAAGAACATCTGTTCAGAGTTAAAACATGAGTGAAAAAAACATATAATTGAACTTGCATCCGAAAAAAAATTGTTTAAGGAATGCAGACTCTTCTAAATAAATTATGCAGTTTTTCTGAATCAGCCATCCATCCGATGCGCCTGTTAACTGTTCTATTTTTCACTGTCCACCATAATGGGATCACTTTAATGGACGTTATTGCACCTGGTTATTACGCGATATTAACAAAACAATCATTAAGGCTCGCAACTGGTTTCTAAACACCTATTCGTGTCGATGAATACGGAAAAGTAATCTTACGTTAAATACTGCTAAACGATCAAATTATAGACGAAACATATTCATTAGATTGTATCTTCAAATATATCAACAAAGTACTTGTATGAAATTTATAATTCGTTCTTGAAATGAATGTTGGAGATGATTTGAAATATCGTTTCTAGTTTAGGTATGGTTTATAGTTGTTAGATGAGGTAAACTTTTGGAAAATAAAAACATATATGGAAATATGTGAAATATGTGAAATGTGTGAAATGTGTGAAATGTGTGAAATATGTGAAATATGTGAAATGTGTGAAATGTGTGAAATATGTGAAATGTGTGGAATGTGTGAAATGTGTGAAATATGTGAAATGTGTGGAATATGTGAAATATGTGAAATATGTGAAATATGTGAAATATGTGAAATATGTGAAATATGTGAAATATGTGAAATGTGTGAAATGTGTGATATATGTGAAATATGCGAAATATGTAAATTACGTGAAATATGTCAAATGTGTCAAATATACAAAATATGTGAAGTATGTGAAGTATGTGGAATATGTGGAATATGTGGAATGTGTGAAATATGTGAAATATGTGAAATATGTGAAATATGTGAAATATGTGAAATATGTGAAATATGCGAATTACGTGAAATATGTGAAATATATGAGATACGTAAAATATGTGAAATGCACGAAATATGTAAGTTACATGAAATATGTGAAATATCTGGAATGTGTAAAATATATAAAATATATTTTCAATCTTTATTGTCACTGATATTAATTATTCGTGTCATGTAATTTATTAATTCATTATAAAACTAGTAATTTTTAATTTAATCTTTCTTAAACACTAAAACTACCAAAACAGTTAAATGAGCCTATCACAAGTTTCTCATCTTACACTACAAATTTCTTAAGGTCATAAAATCATTAACTTTATTCAAAATAAAGTGTTAATTTATGCTTTATCATTTGTCTTTATTTCTCAACTTTTTAATTTCAAAATTGATTACACGTCGATAGCTTCTGTATTAAAATAAGGTAGTCATGAACCGTAATTTGATGAAATCTTTTAAGACTATCTCAGCTAAAATCTAACTGTATATCATTTTTCAGGATCACCTTATCACTTGATTTATGGATAGAGATAACTCTGTGTCTCGTACAAGTTTTATCTATGTATACCAACATGCGAGTCGCGTGCGATATAATTGCGGTGTTAACGTGTCGTACTATGTCCATTTTTCCGCTTTTTTTCTCTCTTTTTTTTATCCCATGGCAAGGAAGGTGCAGTGACGCGAGCATAATTAGTCTGACCACGATCAAAGCGTTCCTCCGATGCTTTCGAGCGGACGCAAACCAACGACGATGAAAAACATTGCTCGAGGTTGGTGGACAAGCGACGCGAAAAACGGAAGAAAAATTACTTGACTCCTTTCATTCGGGCGATAATGAAAACAACAGATCGATAGGTAATTTAGCTATCGATCGATAAATTTGTTTAGGAATTTCGTGATTCTTTTCAGGACTTCATGTTGTTTCAAATAGTTCATTTTTGAGCAACGAAAATCTATCTAAAATTTTCGTTCGAAATTTGTTTTAAATTCAGTTTTTTTTTATAATTAGAAATTTTAGAATGAATATTTTAATAATTGAGTATACAAAAATTTTTGTTTGTTTGAAGTTAGGAATTGAATTATTAAAATTTCTTAAAAAATATTTAAGTCTTTTTATAGCGCCTAAAAGATATTACTAATTTTTAAATTAAATATTTAAAAAACTGTTTAAACTTGAAGATTTTAATTTTCTTCTAATTTTTGTAATTTCAAAATGAAAATTTCTTTCAAATTTGAAATTTTATAATTAATTTTAAAAAATTTTTAAATTAATAATTGGTTCAAATTTGAAAATTTGTAATTTAATAATTATTTCAAACTTAAAAATTTTTAATAAAAAATAAGCTTTCTGTGACTTCTCTGCTTTGTTTCGTTTAAATTAAATTTAATTAAGGAAACATAAAAGTTTATGATTATTAAAAAAAGTGCAAAAGCAATAACTACTTTCGTGAGAAATATTTGATCTATCACTTTCAAACTTGAAATAATATAAATTGCAAATTATGATTCACGTTTATGTATCATAAATCATGTGGCTATCTATTTCATTTCCTGTTATTTGACGATGTGAACATTTTCTTCATTAATTCAGTAATTGATTAATTGATACAAATAACAAATCAATACATATAATTACTAATACGGCTGATTGCATTATTAATTGATGTCTCTGAATGATGTTGCTAGAATATTAATGTACAATATGTTGAATTCATTTAAGAAATACATGATTGGATACTTAATCAACTTTGACATTCAATTTCTTTTAACGAAATATAAAAAAATTGTCAATTTGCAGATTATTTCTATATGAAGCATTTTTCAGTTTAAAATAATTTAATTTTTCAATTATTTCATAAATGCTAAAAATTTCTTTTAACAAAATATAAAACAATCGACAATTTGCAAATTATTTCTATATGAAGCATTTTTCAATTTAATTTTTCAATTATCTCATAAATATCAACAATGTACCTTAAAATTTTCATTGATTTCACAGTTTCATATTTAGATACGAATCTTGAACTTTTGGGACATTGTGTTAATAAGTTTAATTATTTTCTGAAGCACTCTACTTTTTTTAAGTCTAACACTGAAACATTCCACTTTTTTTTAAAGTCAAATACCTAAGCATTCTATTTTTTAGAATTTAGAACTTTTTTAGAATACTTCTAAGAATGCATCTATAATAAAAAAAAGACATATCATCTAATAGAAAATGTTGACCTTCCCAACATATTTCAGTATCACCCAAGGTCAAATGTACAAGAGTACGCACCCCACCACAATTTTTATCTAAAGCATCTCTTCATCTATACCCATCGAAATATTTAAACGTCCTCAAATCTCGAGTGCAATACTTCCGACTTTAGGTCACGAAATCATCTCATCAAACGAACACTCCTCACGTTAATTGCCGCTTAACGACGTATACCCTCCGACTGAATTAACCAGAATCGAAGCCATCGATATTGGAAACTGGCTCGTAAATAGCCGTTCGGTGAAATGACAGAGCCGAGAAATCTGGGTGGTCCGTAGGTATTTCTCTGCAAGTTTTCCAGCAGGATAACTCGTCCTGCCGGTGTTCCAGCTCGCATGAAACGTCGGGAACGGCCGCTTCATGACCAAGAAACACTCTCGAGTCTGTAGGAGCGTGATGTAACGTCCTCCCTCGATCGAGGAATCCAATAACTGGAAAACGCACCGGAGCGTGTCGAGGTGCCTTCGATTCTCCAACAGCTACCTCGACTTGGTCGACGAGAGAGATAGAGAAGGCCATACGTCGTATTCGTACGTCGATTTCGCGACGAATCGCGGCACGGGTGCGTCCACTTTTTCAACGTAACGGATCGTGGCCGCGACGAGAATTCAGCGCACCGGAAACGAATGGAAACGTAGTTTACTCACCGGCATAGGAAATCTCTTTCGCCTAAACAGAGCTCGAGGCAGTGCTGTCGCGAGGATGCGTTCATGGTCCTTCGTGTGTGGCCCTGAAGACGGTGGCCCTGCACTCTGTCGATACACCAGGCCCGCTCGCAAGGTTTCACAGCCAGACAACTTTTTTGGGCGTAGATCGTGAACACTGGGAATTGCGATTGCGATAGTGCGCCTAGAACAAAAATTAGGCGATTCAGTTGCGCCGTTCGAGAAACCCTACAAAACTTATCAATATGGCGGATCTTAGATTTCTCATTTTCGATTGAGATAATTATTCAGAAGTTTAATTTTTCAAGAAACTGGTGTTAGTGTTTGTTAAAATAAAAATTTTGGGATTTGGGCATTTGGGAATTTCAGGGTTGGGGGTTTGAGAATTTGAGAATTTCAGGGTTTGGGGGCTTGGGAATTTGGGGATTTGGGGATTTGGGGATTTGGGGATTTGGGAATTTGAGTATTTGGGGATTTGGGGATTTGGGGATTTGGAGATTTTGGGGATTTGGGAATTTAGGAATTTGGGAATTTGGTGTTTTGGAAATTTGGAAATTTGGGAATTAGGGAATTTGGAAATTTGGAAATTTGAAAATTTGGGAATTTGAGAGTTTGAGAGTTTGAGATTTTAGGAGTTTAGGAATTTGAGGATTTGGGAATTTGAGGATTTGGGAATTTGAGAATTTTGGGATTTGGGAATTTGAGGATTTGGGGATTTGGGGATTTGGAGATTTTGGGGATTTGGAAATTTAGGAATTTGGGAATTTGGTATTTTGGAAATTTTGAACTTTCGGAATTTGAGACAACTTTTCTGGGTGTAGATCGTGAACACTGGGAATTGTGATTGCGATAGTGCACCTGGAACAAAAGTTATGCGATTCTGTTACGCCATTCGAGAGCATTAACCCTACAAAACTTAACAAAATGGCGGATCTTAGATTTTCGATTGAAAAAATTATTAAGAAGTTCTTATTTTTTCACAAAGCTATGTGTTAGTCTTCGTTAAATTAGAAAATCATTGTATAAGCTAGTTCACATCACTAGCTTATACATTTACATTACTACTAGCTAGTATCATTATTGATTTGTTTTGATAGTTTTGATTCATTTTAAATATAGCATTAAGTAAATATAGCATTAAGAATTAATTTGATCCAGAAGATGTGATACATCGTTTTACTAATGAAAGTACTAGCAATATCTATTAAATACTTGGAGGGTCTGAACATTTTCAGTCTCGATTATCAACTTGTGGTGGATTTCAACTTGTGGTGGGAGGTGTGTAAGGATCTAGAAATATTTATTGGGTGGAAAAGTACGAAAGAAATAGATGATGAAGTACATTTTGTCAGAATGTTAATTTAATTTCTAAAAATTTATTTTTTCATTATATTGAATGGAATTCAATTTCGCGTTTCTGTGTTGTGCGAGTTTACTTATAGCTAAGCGTATGTTGTTTAGAATTAACGAAACTGTAAGCAGCATGAATATCATGTCAATTTTGCACGGCAACAAGCGAGAAGTTTTAATTGGAAAATGAAACGATTGTATTCCGGGTAATTACGATCCTAGAGTATTGTATTAACAATAATGCCTCTTTCCACCACTGAATTCAAGAATAAAACATATATTTCTATGAACATAAACTTGTTTGAAATGTGAGGATTTAGGCACATTTAAAACTTAATTTAATATTTAATGTTTAATTTTGTTAATGTTCACAAAGTGAAGTGCACACAAAGTGATCTAACGCGACAGTCCATGTTCATTAAAAACATATTTAATTAAACAAAGAGAATTTTTTCATTTAAACTTGAAATAAAACAGCGATTAAGTGAAACGGGGTATAATAGGTACAATTCAGAATTTTCGTAATTAAACATTAAAATTTCATTTTTCGGTCTGCTTTGAAATTTTTGCGCTGCACGGAACATTTTCATTGGTTTTTAACTTTTTATTACACTACGTTTCAGATATGACAAATAGTTTAATATTCTACCATTCTGCGTATTTTATTATTATATGATTTTCGGAATTTGTTAAATATAAATAAATAGCAGTTTAACAAAATTCACATAATTGAGAAAAATATTGAAAACATTTATTTTTCATAATTACAATATTTCAATTGCCAAACAGATAAAAATATAGGTTCGTAAAATTTTTTACAATGAAACAATTTATTATCAAATATTATACCTTATTACGGATAAATTTATATTCAACTTTATCAAAGTTAAATTTGTATTTAACCTTGTCAAAATTAAATTTGTATTCAGCCTTGTCAAAATTAAATTTGTATTTCCTCCACTCAAAATGAATGAACCGTATCCATTATTAAAAAACCAATTCACCATTCCTCGATACAAAAAAATCTACTTACACTATAAATGCAATTGAGTACGTAAATAAAAATTAACGGAGCATAAAGATTAAAATAGCATCAATTTCCCAAACAATAAGTACAGTAAGGTATTTATCATACTCAAGGATAACTCGTTTAGTTTTTATCACAACTGGTTAACACTGCGAACAGTATCGCGGCGTCCTTGTATCATCCAAGTTTCATAAAACCAATACAAATCCATAAATTCTTTTTTCCCCATCGTTATTTGTCGAATGCACAAAAGTGTTCATCAAGCGGTTGAAAAGCGAGTAAAAAGAGAATCGAAGGATTTATAGAAAGCGGTACAAATATGCGCCCGGTGTAATAGCGGGGATCAACCTTGACAGTGATAAAGCTACTGCTATATTTAACGGTCGAACGAGACGTTCGATGTGCAGTGGATAACATAAATCCTGGCGGACTTTGATTTGTGGAAATACAAGATTAGCCTGCTGGTTAGAAATTAATGTCCTATCAGATCGTTACAGCAAAAAAGAGCGCGCAAAATATTTCAATCGGAGAGGTTAGGAAAGAAGCACTTTCGGGATTCAATTACCATGCGTCGGTAAGCGGCCCTAGACTTTTCCGTCCCGATTTTTCACTGAAAGTTAGCAACCCCCGATTCAAATTCAACTTTCCAATTCGCAATTGACGCTGATCAATGCCTGTTATTCTCGAAAGTAGAATCTCGAGGCAGCCAGCTCGTTATTCTTTGGCTGTCGATCGGTGGGTCGAGAGGGGTCGTGCTAAGTGGCGGAATAATTTCTCGGAGCCGGGTGTCGAGTCGTCACCCTTCACGAGATCATAATTAATCTCGGCCGGGCTTAAGCTCGTGAAAGGAGGACGGCTAGGGACGTTTTCGAACGGTGATTCGTTGAAAAGTTTCAGGTCACACGAGGGGGGACAGGTAACGAGGTAACAGGTTCAACGGAACACGGAACATCGATTTTCCAAGCAGGCGCTAAAGGTATTCAATTACCTGCCTTTCTGCTGGCCTACGCGGAGGCTTAATGACTGTAGCTAATTTTAATGAGCGTAGCCGCGACCATAACGGCGAACGAACGCGTTTTCTTCCATCTATGGGGATCCACGGTGTCGAATCATTCGTGGAACGTCATTTAGCAGGAAGACGTTGCTCGTTACGGCCTGGGGGGTAAGCACATTATAGTAATCAACCGGTCACTTCCGGGGATCTATATGCAGAAGATCAGCTACCATTTTACTCGTTCAAATGCTACCGCGTTACCGGATAATGGAAGATACAGTCGTAAACACTTTGGTGATACATTTCTTACTTCTATGCGGATTGCGATCGGATACCATGTTTTTCTACGTATATTATTTCTGTTGTGCCTCATGGCGTTGGCGTTTGAGGAACAACGTGGTAAGTCGAGGATGTAGAGTTTGTAAGGCTTCAGGCAAAAATTGATGTTATCTTAGATGCCATTGCATGATGCGTTAGATATGTGAACAAAATGGATGAGTACAGTTGATTTGTACTCCTATGCTGGGTGGTAAATATTGGACATACAGAAAGATCTTCTACGCTAACTTGACAGTTTAACTAGACAACCTGCAAACTTTTTTAGAATTGTTGGGAAATTTGTTACTTTATAATTTCTAGATTTGTAAATTTAGAACATCTCAATATTTAAACTTGTAATCTCCTGAATAAATTTGAAAACCTCAGAGATATACTTGAAAATTGAAAGCTTTTGAATTTATTTTGAATTTGTAAATTTAAAAACTGATTGTTATAAATTTAGAACCTTTAAAAAAATAAGATAAAATATTCACAACACTTTCTTGTAAAATTTAATAAATAAAAATATAATTAGGAATACATGTTTCGTAAACACCTTTTCCATTTGAAGTTGATATATAAAATTAGTGGTTCTATTATATCTTCGAAATACCGTAAATACCTACAATATTTCCTTCGGATAGGTATTTGAAAAGTTATCATAGCTATGATACAAAAAGAATCTGATCATAGAAATAAGGATGGTTCTCTATTCCCAGGTTGTATTCAATGTTTTTCTTTTTACTTGTTTCCATTACACCTGCCCAGATGCAATCTTTCGCAGTGTTCGACGTTTCCCGATTTCACATCCCTTTTTCCGTGTCACATGCCCGGAACTTAATATCGAAGCGTAGTTTCTTCGTTGGGTAACAGTCATCCACGAAACGAGGAATTTTCGTTCCCGCCGAGTGAGAAAATTGCGGCAAAAATTCCAGGACGATGGAAAAGAGGGAATCTCCCGGAGGGACAGGAATAGACTCTTCACGGTTATTCGTGTATGTAATCGTGATCGTTCGCGTACCAGCATTTGATTTCTATCTAAATATAGATAGTTAAGCCGCTGTTAAATTCTCCAATACATAATATAATATATAAACTATTAGCATTAATGTCACATTAGTGAAAAGTTTGTTTTAATTTTTATTAAACCTATAATTTCTCAGGCAGTAGCGTCATGTACCTAATTATTGCTACAACATTAAAACAATTAAAGAATGTTAAAATGTTAGACACTTTGCCTTCAGCAATCCTTGATACAGATTATTAGAATTGGACCAAAAATTGAATTGCAGTAAAAATCAGAAAAACAAACCAGAATCGTCTCTGGCTTGTCACATTTCAATTGCAGTATGTGTCACATGTGTGATACGTAGTTGTAGGTTAAGGGGTTAATAATAATAAGTATACGGTGTTAAATTTGAAAGTTGACCTACTTAGAAACTTAAGGCAATATTGATGATGTGGACCAAATTTATTTTACAAAAAGATTTGCACA